AGGACGATCCCCTCAGAGGTCTCCCTGGTGAGCCCTGACAGTGTGTGTGGTGTGTTTTGCGTGTGTTGTATGTTGGGGTTTGTTGTTGGTGTGCGTTGTTGTGAGTTGTTGTGTGTGTTGGTGGGTGTTTTGCGTGTGTGTTGTTGTGCGTGTGTTGTGTGTTGTTGTTTGTGTCTTGTGGTGTTGGTGTGTTGTTGTTGTTGTTGTTGTTGTTGTTGTTGTGTTGGTCTCTCGCCCTGACCCCCCCCCTCTGTTCCTGCAGGTGAAGTCTCAGAAGAGAGCCATCAGGCTGCTGAGGCTGAAGAGGGTGGAGGATCCCATCCTGGAAGAGCAGAAGAGACGGAAGGAGAGGGAGAAGGAGGAGAAGAGGATGCAAGAGGAGAGGAGGAGACAAGAGGAGGAGGAGAGGAAGAGGAGAGAGGAAGAGGAGGCAGAACAGCTGATGGAGGCGGAGAGGAAGAGGAGGGCGGAGGTGGCGGCCGCGCTGGCAACAGCCAAAGGAAAAGTGAGTTCATTAGTGGTTTCATTAATGTTAAAAACACTTTGATTCAGTGTCGACTCTTTAGATGACTCGTGACCCAGTGACGACTCTTTAGATGACTCGTGACCCAGTGAGGACTCTTTAGATGACTCGTGACCCAGTAACGACTCTTTAGATGACTCGTGACCCAGTGTCGACTCTTTAGATGACTCGTGACCCAGTGTCGACTCTTTAGATGACTCGTGACCCAGTGTCGACTCTTTAGATGACTCGTGACCCAGTGTCGACTCTTTAGATGACTCGTTACCCAGTGTCGACTCTTTAGATGACTCGTGACCCAGTGTCGACTCTTTAGATGACTCGTGACCCAGTAGCGACTCTTTAGATGACTCGTTACCCAGTAATGACTCATGAACCAGTAACGGTTGCTTGTCTCCCAGTGGACCCCGCTGGGTTTCCTCTACAGGAAGATGGACACCATGCTGGACATCAGCAGGGAGCGCTTCCAGGGCACGGTGCTCAAAGCTCTGTCCAAGGACCCTCGCAAGGACGTCAAGTCGGCGCTGGTATGGAAAACGCTGAGGAATTCATACGTTCTGGTTCTTCTGGTTCTCCTCATAGCAGAGCATCTAACGGCTACTAACACTCACTATCTCAAATTCCAGACTTTATTCTCAAATCTCAACATTTTAATTTATTTTGAAAATAAAAATTATTTCCCCCAAAATTCTAACTTTTTCCCCAAAATCTAAAATCCTGACTTTTTTCAAAAAGTCTCCAGAGTTATTAAAAATGTCCTCATATCAGATGCCATGTTTCCTCCTGCAGTCACCGACAGAGGAAGCTGCAAAACTGTTATTTGATGATGATGATGATGATGATGATGATGATGATGTTAAACCAGAAGAGCTGAGACTTAAAAGGGGGCGGGGCTTCATACACTGAAGTCATGTTTCCTGCAGGTCAAAGTTAAAGAGGAGAAACTGGATGAGGAGGAGCTGAAGAAAAAGGAGGAGGAGCTGAAGGAGGAGGAGGAGCCAAAGAAGGAGGAGGAGCCGGAGAAGGAAGATGAAGAGGGGAAGCAGGATCTGATGAAGGAAGAGGAGGTAATGAAGAGCGAGGCGGTGCAGCAGGGAGGAGCACTGATTGGCCGGCTGGTGACAACCATCAAGGGCGAGCAGAAGCATCTTCCCTTCGGCCCGGAGGACATGATCAGCACGGCCACCATGCTGGACGGAGACAAGGTGAGAGGGGGAGGAGCTACCTGTGTTCCCCTTCAGGGTGGGGTGTAACTAGCAAACGCTAGCCATTTAGCTAGCAAACATTAGCAAATAACTAGCAACATTAGCCATTTAGCTAGCAGACGTTAGCCATTTAGCTAGCAACATTAACCATTTAGCTAGCAAACATTAGCGATTTAGCTAGCGACACTAGCCATTTAGCAAACATTAGCCATTTAGCAAACATTAGCCATTTAGCTAGCAAACATTAGCCATTTAGCTAGCAACATTAGTCATTTAGATAGCAAACATTAGCCATTTAGCTAGCAACATTAGTCATTTAGATAGCAAACATTAGCCATTTAGCTAGCAAACAGTAGCCATTTAGCTAGCAGACAGTAGCCATTTAGCTAGCAGACAGTCGCCATTTAGCTAGCAAACAGTAGCCATTTAGCAAGCAGACAGTAGTAGGAATCAAAATAAATTATGAAAATAGTTGTAATAAAATGGATGTGTGTTACAGTAGAGAAGGAGTGTGTTAGTCTGTATTTACAGAGTGTGTTAGTCTGTATTTACAGTGTGTTGGTCTGTATTTACAGTGTGTTAGTCTGTATTTACAGAGTGCTTTAGTCTGTATTTACAGTGTGTTAGTCTGTATTTACAGTGTGTTAGTCTGTATTTACAGTGTGTTAGTCTGTATTTACAGAGTGTGTTAGTCTGTATTTACAGTGTGTTAGTCTGTATTTACAGACTGTGTTAGTCTGTATTTACAGTGTGTTAGTCTGTATTTACAGACTGTGTTAGTCTGTATTTACAGAGTGTTTTGGAGTTGTTGACGTGTTTGTTTCTCTGAAGGTGCGTTTCAACATCGCCACCCACCAGGAGACCAAAGAGCAGCGAGCGGCGTACGTGGAGATCCTGCCCGACTCCTTCGAGGAGTCCACGGAGCAGCGGAGACACGTGAGGCCCTCCTACCTTTTATTTATATATATATATATATATATATATATATATATATCTATAGTGCACAGGTTCCTGGCTGTACAGGTGAAGCTGGTATCCGGCCCTTTACCCACTGAGTCCCAGCTGAGACATTGACCCTCCCCCCCTCTTTCTGCAGGGCCTCGTCATCGAGCTCTCTCTGTCCACCGGCCTCATCAAATGCTCCCAGAATCCTCAGCTCTACTTCCACATGTGCGAGGTGATCGAGAAGAAGCGGCTGGAGCTCAACGAGAAGGTGGAGTTCAGCGTGGTCCCGGTGAGTCGCCTCCTTCAGTTCCTACTGATCTCTCTCTGAAGCTGAACCCTGTTTACCTCATGTTGAATCTGTTTCTGTTCCCAAAGCACGAGACGGCGGAGGGGGGGAACCAGGCCATCCGGATCAAACGCTTCACCGAGAAGGTTTTCCTCCCGGCACGGAAACTGTGCGCCATCGGCCTAGCGAAGGGAAAGGTGAGCATCCCCTCAGAGGACTATCCCCTCAGAGGACGATCCGCATGTTACGGTGTGAGCATCCCCTCAGAGGACGATCCGTATGTTACGGTGTGAGCATCCCCTCAGAGGACGATCCCCTCAGAGGACGATCCGCATGTTACGGTGTGACATCCCCTCAGAGGACGATCCGTATGTTACGGTGTGAGCATCCCCTCAGAGGACGATCCGTATGTTAGGTGTGAGCATCCCCTCAGAGGACGATCCCCTCAGAGGACGATCCGTATGTTAGGTTGTGAGCATCCCCTCAGAGGACGATCCGTATGTTAGGTTGTGAGCATCCCCTCAGAGGACGATCCCCTCAGAGGACGATCCGTATGTTAGGTTGTGAGCATCCCCTCAGAGGACGATCCGTATGTTAGGTTGTGAGCATCCCCTCAGAGGACGATCCGTATGTTAGGTTGTGAGCATCCCCTCAGAGGACGATCCGTATGTTAGGTTGTGAGCATCCCCTCAGAGGACGATCCGTAT